TTTTTTGGAAACTTCTGTTTTCCATACAAAGGTTCTTACCAATAGTACACAAGTGTTCTATTTTCTCCACCTCCTTGCTAACACTTATTTTTTTTTTCTTTTTCATAATAACCTTTCTAAAAACAGGTTTAACTGATATCTCATTGTGGCTTTGATTTTCACTTTGATGATGATTAGTGATATTGAGCACCTCTTCATGTGCCTGTTGGCAATGTGAATATATTCTTTGGAAAAATGCCCATTCTGCTCATTGGCCTATTTTAGATTGCTGTTATTGAGTTATGTTTTTATGTATTTTGGATATCAACCCCTATCAGATATTATTTGCAAAGGTTTTCTCACATTCATTTGACTGGTGGTTTTCCTTGCTGTGCAGTAATTTTTGGTTTGATGTAGTCCTATTTATTTTTGCTTTTGTTGCCATTGCTTTGGATTTTGTCAAATCCAAAAAATCATTGCTAAGGCTGATGTCAAGGAGCCTGCCATCTGTTTTTCTTCTAGGAGGTTTATGATTTCAAGTTTTATGCTCAACTTTTAAATCCATTTTTAACTTTTGTGAATAGTGTAACATAGTGATCTAGTTTTCCCAACACCATTTAAGAGAATGTTTTTCCTTACTGTACCAATACCATAGTTTTAATTACTACACCTATGTAATATAGCTTGAGATAAGGACGCATGATGCCTCTAGCTTTGTTCTTTCTCAATATTGCTTTGGCTATTCAGGATCTTTTGTGATTCCACACAAAAGTAGGATCGTCTGTTCTGTTTCTATGAAAAATGCCACTGGTATTTTGAGATTGCATTGACTGTGTAATAAAAGGGCATTTTAAAATGAAGGGGCATGTTAATATTAATTCTTCCAATCTGTATGCATGGAATATCTGTTTATCATTATCTTTTTCAATTCCTCTCACCACTGTCTTGTAGTTTTCAGTATACAGGTTTTTTTTTTTTTAATCTCCTTGGTTAAATTTATTCAAGATCATCAGTCCCGGGTGTTCATTAGGACTGATGCTGAAGCTGAAACTCCAATACTTTGGCTACCTCATGCGAAGAGTTGACTCATTGGAAAAGACCCTGATGCTGGGAGGGATTGGAGGCAGGAGGAGGAGATGACAGATGAGATGGTTGGATGGCATCACCGACTCGATGGACATGGGTTTGAGTAAACTCCGGGAGTTGGTGATGGACAGGGAGGCCTGGCGTGCTGCGATTCATGGGGTCACCAAGTCGGACATAACTCAGCGACTGAACTGAGGTATTTTTTTACTATACAACTGTAAATGGGATTATCTCCTTTTTCTGATACATTAAAAAAATAAATACCTGGCAGTATCAGGTCTTGGTTGTAGTAAGTAGGATCTTCACTGTGTCTTGCAGAGCTCTTGTTCTGGTACACTGACTTTCTACTTGTGGCACGCAGGCTCCAGAGCACGTGGGCGTCAATAGTTGCGGCATGTGGGATTTTAGTTCTCTCATCAGGAATTGATCCTATATCTCCTGCATTGCCAGATTCCTAACCACTTGACCATCAGTAAGTAACCCCCCCTTTTTTTTGGTGGTGTCTTTAGGGTTTTCTATATGAAACAGCGTATCATCTGCAAATAGTGACAATTTTACTTCTTTGGATGCCTTTCTTTCCTAGTTCTGGCTAGGATTCCATTTTTACTGAATAAAAATATTGAGCGTGGGCATCCTTGTCTCATCCCCAAGAGTATGATTAGCTGTGGACTTGCCATTTAGTCTTTATTATGTTTAGATACTTTCCCTCTATACTCACTTTGATGTTTTTTTAAAATCATAATTTGATGTTGAATTTTATCAAATGCCTTTTTTCCTTATCTATGGGGATGACAAGTATTTTTATCCATTTAGTTAAGCTGTATAATACATTGCTTGATTTGCAGATGTTGAATCTCCTTACATACCTGGAATAATCTCACTTGATCATTTTAACATATTATTGAATTAACTTTGCTAATGTTTTGTTGAGGATTTTTGCATGTTTTGTTTACAACATGAAGGATATTGGCTTGTAATTTTCTCTTCTTTAGGTGTCCGTGTTTCATTTTGGTACCAGGGTAATGCTAGCTTCATGAAATGTGTTTGGAAATAGTACCTCCTCTTCCATTTTTGAAAAATGTTTGATAAGGACTGCTATTAATTCATCTTCGAATGTTTGGTAGAAGTCATCAGTGAAGCCATGTGGTCCTGGACTTTGTTGGGAGGTTTCTGATTTATTATTCAATCGCACTACTAACCGGACTAATTAGATTTTCCATTTTTGTCATGATTGACAGCATTTAGGTTGTCCAATTTGCTGGTGAATATAAACATCTCATGATTCTTTATGTATATTCTGTGGTATAACTTATCTCTCATTTATTTTCTTCTTTTGTGAGTCTAGCTAAAGTTTTGTCAATTTTACCTTAAAAAAAAAGCTTAGTTTTACTGCTCTTTCCTACCAACACTTAGGGATCTATTCCCCACTCCACCCAGGATATAAAGTTAGGCTGAGATATTTGCTTCTTGATAAAGGCATTTATCCCTATGAACTTCCCTCTTGGATTGCTTTTGCTGCCTCCCATTAAGTTTTGCTATGTCATTTTTCCATTTTCATGTTTCATTTTAAAATTTCTTTTGATTTCTTCGACCCATTGGTTGTTAAGCAGGATGTTGTGTGATTCCTACATATTTGTGAAAACTTCAGGTTTCTGCCTGTAGTTTTGTTTTATATCGTTATAGTCAGAAAAGATGCCTATTTCAGTCATCTTTAACTTAGTAAGACTTGCTTTGTGGCCTAACCTATGATCTATCCCGAAAAATGTTCCATTTGTGCTTAAGAAGAATCTGTATTCTGTTGCTTTTGCACAGAATGTTCTGTGCCTGTTAAGCCCATCTGGTCTAAACATATTACTTGAAGTCTATGCTTCCTTACTGGTAATGTCCTTTGATGAAAGTGGGATACTTAAGTCTACTATTATTGTTTTGTTGTCTATTTCCCTTAGGTCTGTTAATATTTGTGTCATATATTCAGTTGTTCCATGGTTTTATTTGCACATATCTTCCATATATCCTAGAGATATTTCCATTTCAAACATCTTCATTTCCCTCATTTTAGTTTGTATAATGCAGAGAGCATGGCTGTTATCATAATTTATGTAGTCATCTCCTTTCTGATGGACATCTGTTGGGATTTGGTTGAAAACAGATTAAATTTATGGTTGACAATTTACAATATTCAAGATGTCCTTTTCAGAAACAATTTACATCTATCCACTTAACTAAATACTTGTCTAATTTTCTTCATAAAGATCTTATACATACTCCGCCATCCATTAGCCACTTCATTTCTCTGATAAGTAACATGTAGATAGAGGGGGTGTGTGAAAATGTAAGCACACTTACTCAGATGTATAGAAACTTTTTTAGTTGTATTAATGGTCTCACTTTGCTTTAGAGCCCCCACTTTCACTAATAGCAAAATTGGGGGAGAAGACAGATTCACCATTAAGGAACTCATCTTTCCTGGGCTTCACACTTTCCTCTAATCAAATCGAAGTTCAAATTCCTGTCAGGCTGTTCCTCTATTCAGAAATTCCTTACCCCATCTTCTTTATCAAGTTGGGAACTAGTGCAGGGAAGGAACTCTTTCTTGCTGTTTTATGAGTTTTTACTAGTTGTTCTTTCTATCACCTGTTTCTGGAACCTTCTGCCTTACTCCATGCCTTACTCCAGCAGCTCCTATCTCAACAATAATTCTGAGATCCTGTACACTGAAGTTTCCTTGTCTCAAAAGGCTTGCCTACCCCCATTAATTAGTAACATAGTTTTCACACAAGTTTATACCCTTTATCTGCTAACTGTGCAACTTCTGTTTCTGATCTCCCTTACCTTTAGTGGTGAGTGAAGTTTCTATTAGTGAACTTTAGTAACATATATAAACATTCCCCGACTAGCCCCACAGACCCCAGAATACCATCTATTGTCAAAAGCTGAAACAACAGTACCTTCTACACCATGAACCTATGATTAAAGCTAAGCCTCAGAGACTGTTAGTATTATAAACTGCAGTAATTCTTTTCCTAGAAAAATGCTGTAAAATTTAAGGGTGGTTGTATATATAGAAAAATGACATTTCCCATCTGTTGTCAAAGCTGCAGCAATAGGAACAGGTACATCATGAACATACTGATCAAAGCTAAAGCCTCAGAGACTGTTAGTATCGTAAACAGCAATAATTCTTTTCCTTGAAAAAATTTAAGCATGGTTATAGTATAGAAAATGATAAAGTTCCCTTAAAAAAGCAGTCAGAAAGTAATTCTGAGATCTTACTCTTAGAACATAGAAATTTTAAGCTATTAAAGAGTAGTGGAAAAGTATAATAAACTTTTTATTTTCATAAACTCTCTTAAAAAAAACAAATAGAACTTGATTTAACTTTTAAAAGTCATCTCCAAGGCCTCTTAGCTTTCATACTAACAAATTCTAATAAGGACTCTCCACACAGGGAGTTATGCTTAAATGTTTACTATGTCATATTTCCATCCCTTTGCTATATTCATGAATAAATGGAAGCAATAATTTGAGTAGACTAGAAATAAATCCAATAGACAACTGCTGAAAAAGTTTTTTCTGGTGAAAAAAAGCAGTAATTGACACTTGAAAAAAGTTATTTCTCCAATAAGGTATCACATAACATATAAGCAGCAGACCTTTTTCTACACATGAAAACACAAGGTCTTAGCTATAGAAACAACACATTATTGCAATCCAACTCTTTTTAGACAAGAAGTACACTAAACAAAGGGATAAAACCTGTGTTGGTATAAAAGGAATGTGACAATATAGGATAGGACAATCAACTCGGTTCTTATTCCTCAAAGTAAATCTTCCTGAATCATCACTCTCAGAAGCATTTCTCTGGCTAGCAGAACTCCATCCAGACTCCAGGCCCAAGGTGGAGGGCCATAGTTTCTCCAGTTTCTTTCAATAGCTCAATCTTCAAGCAAGTAGTTAGGGTTAACAACTAAGTAGGGATCTTCTTCATAGCTCTCACTTCCTTCTGTGGAGCCTTTCAATCCAGCTTGGGTGAGCTCAATTAGAACATGATCCTATGAAATACAAATGGTTGTCCTCAGTTCTTTAGCAGTATTATAAGAATGATAAGATACACAGGACCGACCCTCCTAAATGCCTGCTACTGACATTTTCTTTCATTTTCCCCCAGAAACTCTTTCAGAAAAATGATTCTCTCTTAGAAAAAGGATATTGGTCTTAAACCATATCAAATTTCTGCTAAATTACCATCCCATTATGATACAGACCTTTTCATATCATAAACTTTCTTTGAAAAATTAAGAAATATATCAGGAAGATCAACATTATGATTTTAACCAGGTTCCCTAGCATATTACATCATGTACTTAAAAATAACTTCAAAAAAACATATGAATTTTATGGTCATGCAATTGTATAAATCCTGATAAATGTTTATCATTCTACTTATCATTCAAAGTGTTTAATACTTAATATTATGTTAATTTTTAATTACCGGCCACTGAACTCTTTCATATACCACCCATTCATAATTCAGTTAGAAGTAGAATCTAAAGATAATTAACATAAAAATTTTCACTTTGATCTATTAACTAGTTAAAAAAAAAGTAGAACATGCCATGTGGCTTAATAAACTTGATGACAGATTTGAAGCCAGGATATTGTAAGTCAGTGTAGTACGCCCACAAACAAGGAGGACTCCTACCTAAGGCCCATACAGAGGAACTCAGGAAATAGCGATTTGATCTTCAGGTGGAAAAGTCCGACAGTATGAGCACTAATACCACTAAGACGGATTAGACACTTGCAAGTACTCCAGGTACTAGCACGTCTTCAGAGCAAGCACACTTGACCAGCACAGTAGAAGTTCCTTAGTCTTTTGTACCAAGTTGGTTCAAGGAGGTGCATCAAACTTAAAAATGTAAGCCCAATTTAGATCAGTTAGTTTTACAATGTGTCCTAGTGTGGGTTTTTTGCATGAATTACTTTACCTTAACACTGATTCCAGGACTACTAAGAAGGGCAGGGCTGGCCCGACACAAACACATTGTCCACCACTAGGCAGACAACTCTGAGCACACCACCACCCCACTTCAGCTCTATTTTTACACATATTATTCATTACATTTTGAATGGAATAGTCTTTCAAATCTCCCCTCCTGTAGTCACAGACTCACCTAGTTCTACAGGGAAATAGTTCATCAAATGATGAACTCTGATGTGTGCCAACTATAATATTTATAAAGTGAGCACTGTGAAGTTAGATGCAATTTCTCCCATTTGAACAGAAAAATTCAATCATGTAACAAGTATCTGAACCCTCTCTGAAGCTTGGCACCACTGCAGATACAGGGGATTAACAACATAAAGTCCCTGCCCTCATTGTGACTGCACATTATTAAACACCTAAACAAAGACTGTACGCCCAGGCAGTGATAAACACTGTGAAGAAACAAGCAGGGTAGGGGTGATGGCAAGGAGGAGGCTGCTATCTCAACAGACGAGGCAAGGAGAACTACTTTGAGAAGGCAGTATTTGAACAGACATTAGAATGGAGGAGAGAATACGGGAAAAGAAACAGAAGGGCAAGTGCAGAGCCTTCATACTTGGTGTGTCCAAGAACAGTGACAAGGCCAGTGTCACTGTGCAGAATGGGAAAGGGAAGAGGCTATGAAAGGAAGTCAGTGAGGTGGGCAAGGGCCTGCTTGTGTAGGGTTCTGCAGGCCCTGGTACAGAGATTGATCTTATTCTAAACATGAGGGAAGGAAGGCAGGGCAGTAAAACAATTTTATTTGTTAAAAGATCTGTCTGCTGCTGGGCAGAGAGCCACTGCAAGGGTGGACAGTTAGGAGGCATCTGTGCAAGTCCAGGCATGGTGGTTTGGGTAGCTGTGATGGTGGTGAAGAGAACAGAGAATACTGAAGGCAGGGCTCATGAGATTTGCTGATAAAAGAAGCTGTGATGGGAAAGGAATCGAAGTTAATTCTAAGATGTCTGGCCTACAGCAACTGAGTAAGTGAAACACTATAGGGAAGTAACTGTTTTGAACACAGAGTGTGAGATGCCTATTAATTTGCAAGTAAGCAGCTAGCTATACACGTTAGGAATTTAGAGGACAGGTGAGAGCAGGAGATATAAATACGGGAGTCATCACAAATGGTTCTCAATTCATGGAACCAAATGAGTTCACTTAGGCAATGAATGTAAACAGAAAAAGAGGTTTGAGGACTACGTATAGTACTTCATTTAAAAAGTGACAAGAGAAAGAGTCAGGAAAAGAAAAAAGGAGGGACTTCCCTGGTGGTCCAGTGGTTTAGACTCAGTGCTTACAATGCAGGGGGCACAGGTTCAATCCCTGGCTGGGGAACTAAGATCCCACATGCCATGTTATGTGGCCAAAAAATAAAATAAAACAGAATCACACAGCTCAAAATTAAAAAAGAGAGAGAAGAGGAGGAAATAACAGTGAGAAGATCCAGGAGAATATGGTGACTCAGAAGCCAAGCAAACAAAGTATTTCTAGGAGTGATCAACCTGACAGATGCTGCTGACAGGTAAAATACTGCAAATAGCCAACTGACTGGAGCAGTGAGATGGCGTGTATGCGACGGTCCTTCAAGAGAGTGGGAGAATGAATAGATGAGGGAAAAGCAATGGCAGTGGGAAGTGCTACTGTGAGGTCAGTGCTACTGTGAAGTAAGACAGAAGTTAAGAACTGTCCATTTGAGATTTGTGGTCATTAATGTAAAATAAGAATAAGTACATGATTGTATGCTTTTCTCCAGATACTTTTAACTTCTTAGATATAGGTACAGTAAACAAACTAGTTTTAACCAAACTAGATGGAGTTTTTGCCAATCAAGTATTACAAAAAGAGAATGAATGAATTGGAAAGTATAAGAAAAAATATATGGGACAGACTGTAAGCTGGGTAACGGAGGGGAGATAAGAACAGGAGGAAGGATAAAATGCAGAATTTAGATGATAGTGGTCAGGCTGCTTGAAGGTTTATGGTAGAGAGAGTAAAATAACAAAGGTTAAAAACACTTAAATAGTTAAGACCCTAAACTCATTTTCCCAGCTTTAATATAAATTCTGCTTATTTTGGCAGAAGAAATAAGTCAATTAATTATTAATTCTCTCTTATTTTACACAATTTTTAAATCTGACTAGACCCTCATGATTCAAAATAAATGAACATCTAAGGAACCTACAAAGATATGAAACATGAAAACCTTCCCTCAGTAATATCCCAGCAAACTTAATTATATACGTACATAGTGGGTGAGTCGATAAATGACTTTTTCAATGATTCTCTTTTTATTTATCAGTTCCTCTTCAGAATCTATTTCTGATTCAATTTCCTTCAAGTACCAGTTAACAAGTTCACTCCTCTTTAATGCCGACTCATCCTCTTCTGCAACCAAAAAATACATTTAAAAAGGATTAAATTATCTTGGTAGCAAACTGTTTTGCCAATTCCTGGAGTTTGTATACACAACAAAATAATGTATAGATTAAGTAACCTATCTGTCAGAAAATATATCTGCTAAAATAAGGTTTGCAATGTTCCAGCATAAGCCTGAAATCACCTGCCATATTACTTCAATTAAAGTATCCTTACTTTATCCTGAAAAGAAAAATTTAAAAAATAGAGATGATAAGAAACAAGTTTCTTAAAGCTATTATGATTTCAAAGTATGCAGGTGTTTCCTTCACCTTCTTATGCTTCGCCACCCAATGCTGGTCAACAGCAACCGAAAGCATAAATTGGAATGAAGGATTCCATCCATTTTAAACAAAGCCATTGTAAAGAAGAAAGATTTTACATCTGTAAAAAATCTGTTAAGTGCTTCTTTACATATTATCAGATCCCAAATTTGGCTTAACAAATATTAAATAGGCCAAGGACATTAGTAAAAGTGAGTCATAAAACTCTGACAATGAACTTGTAGGGAAAACATCCAGGTTGGTAGATATGCTGACATGCTCTCAGAGATTTTGTTTGCCAAAGTGAGCTTAACAAATTATCATCTCTTCTGACAAAACAACACAATCTTTAGCAAACCATAAGCAGTTTATGTGAATACAGCTTATGTAAATGACTCCGCATAAGAGCAGCACTAGGTACGGCCTCACCTTCTTCCATCTTTCTGAGGTGAAGCACAATAAGGTTAGAGATTCGGCAGTATTCGGAGAAGCCCAGCTTTAAGGAGGCTTTTGGAACAGAATCTTGGTTCATGTCTTCACTATGGCCGTTAATTCCACTCACAGGAGCAGGGCTATCAGCATGACCTAAGTGAAATATTAGCCATTTGAATCTTCTTCCTGTGCCAATATCCCCCTACCAGCGGCTTTTATAAATACGCTATTTATATTTTAATACTTATTTTAAAACAACCATATAATTGTACCCAGTATTCAGTAACTGTACAAATAAGTTAGAAGCAATTTTATAAATGCTACTAGTTAAGATAAAAACCCATTTGGAAGAAATGGGAAGAATGGGAGATAAAAAAGATTTCATGATCTAAAATTGCATTTGCAATATTAAGTCCACTATCTTCATTTTGGTGTACTTTCTCTCAAGTCTTTCAAGCATATATATTTTATATCAACTGTTTGATTATATTTTAACTTATAAACAGTTAATAAAATTCATTATCTATTTTCCCCCCTTTTGCTACACAGACTTCATAACTATCAGTAAGTGCACTTTTATCATGATATCTCAGAGAACATTTTGGCCCCTAACTCTAGAACAGTCATGAACAGACAACTCACCATTGATGCCATCTGGGCCCTCATCAACCTCCATCTGGGCATCTTCTTCTTGATCGAGATTGACATCAGGTGTTTCCACACGGATGATTGATTTATTCAGTAATCTGAAAGCTTCCTTCACATGTTTAGGCTGAACCTAAACCAATCAAGATGATGAGGTAAACCAGTAAACCAGTCTTTTTGATACACCAAACAGATTTTCTCCGTATGAAATTTCAGTGGCATTTTTGTTTTCTCACACTCTCCCTCTAACATGACATAAAAATATGAAAGATATTTATGGCAAACCATAAATTTACCAGAATGGCTAAAAGGACCAGCAATATTGAGTGTTGAGGATGTACACTGCTTTCATTCACTGCTTTTGGGAATATAAACCATTACAACCATGTGGGAAACCATTTTCCAGTCTTTACTAAACCGTGTATGGATACAATCTGTGACCCAGTAATTCAGTACCTCCACTTGCAGGTATACACTGAATGGAAATGTACACATATGTACATCAGACTAAAAGACACATACATCTCATAAGAACCCAAACTGGAGACTACCCAAATGTCTGTTTTAACAGAAGGATGAGCCAATCACTAACACACTTACTGACAGTTATGTGTTTTTAACCACAACTGGCAGGGGGAAAAAAAGACTGAAAACAACTTATCTATCAGGAAAAGGATGGTTGGAGTACTATACAGCAATAAAGAAAAGAAAAAGGTTATCCTCAGAGAAGGGGGTAGCAGTGACTGTAAACAAAAAGCTCAAAGGGTTGCTCTTGGCAATGCTAATAAGGAATGTTCGACTTCCTGATCTGGGTGTAGATCACACAGTTTTCACTGAAAGCTAACTGAACTGTACACTTGTGATTTGTGCACTCTCTGTACTTATGTTTTGCCTCAACAAAAAAGTTTACTTAGAAGAAAAATAATAAGTCTATTTTGGGGGCAGGGGACATTGCTTTAAGTCCTTATATAAATAACCAACACTCTCTCTAAATATACTCCCTTCCTAACTAGCTGAGCCCCATAACAACAGATAAGTCCAGCAGAGCACTTTTTTGTTTTTTTAAATACACTACTGACTGCAAGGAAACTTTTAAGTCATTTTAGAGCAGTCAATATCAAGACATATCCTAGTAAACTTACTGGTCTATAAAAATAAAGAATTGTATACGAAGAGAAAAATATCCAGTTACTTATGGGGGAGAAATTAATAATCAAGGGCTGGCCTCAGATTTCCCCAAAAGAACAATAATGTCAGGATACAGTAGAAAAATTCATAGGAAAAGAAACTATGGGCCATAGATTGTAGATCAAGCCAATCTATCATTCGGGTAAAGACTATTAATAACCCTGTTGCACATAACACTCAGGGAAAATTATTCCCATGAACTCATCTCTTTCACCAAACCCTTGAAAAAGGACCAAATTTCAATCAGCCAAGAGATAAATTAGGAAATCATAACAAATTTATCTTCAATGAGCTACACACATATTTATCTAAAAAACTATGACTTAAAAAAACAAGCGTGGGAATTAAGAGTGACAGAATACAATGTATATGGCATGACCTGAAGACAGAGGGGTGATTGCCTCCCACCCGTAACAAATCAAAGTCAAAAGATGATAAATCAAGCGATGGATAACTACATTTGACTGTGCAAAGGAAAGCTGTAAAATATTATTTACTAAAATCATGCCGTTGAGAGGGAAGGGAAGAAAAAGGAAGATGATATATGCTAGTTTTAACACTCTTCCTGGTAGGGAACCAATAGGGAATGGAGGGTATAATATAAAATTATAGTAACAAAAGTAACCACTAAAATAAAATGTAAACTTTCTGAATCTCAGAACTGCACTTAAAGCAAAAGCAAAGTTACCACATAATGAAAAATCATTTCAACTATAAAAAGAAAACAAACAAAAAATCCTCTCTCACCAATAAATGTAAATCGGTTTAACATACATTAAAATAATATTTGTTTGGATCACAAAACAAAACCTAACTCTGTGCTATGTGTGTGTGTAAACACACTTAACTTACTCAGAAATGCCTAAAAATAATAAAAAGTTACGCAAAGGAATATCAGAAAAAGAAAGCAAGGTAGAGTTTAGGCCAAAAAGCATAAATGAGACAAAGAAAGTTAGAGGGTACACATCAAAATGAAAAGATATGTATTAGTTTAAGAGAACAACAATATTAGTAAAGCAGAAACTATAGGAGGTAAAAGGATAAATACAAAGAGAAAAAAACTATTACTGGTAGAGAAATAAAAAGTATTCATAAGACACTTTAAACTTGCAATCTAGAGACGATATGGTAGACCACAAACCCCATAAAAAAAAACAGAAGGCTTATATAATAGAATAAGTTAACTTCCCCTTTCACAGATGTAAGATCCCCTGAGTAGGAAATGGCAATCCACTTGAGTATTATTCCTGCCTGGAAAATTCCATGGACAGCGGCGTCTGGCATCCACAAGGTCGCAGAGTTGAATACAACTGAGCACACACGTAAGCACGCAAACAGGAACTAGGCCTTCCTTCAAAGTGCTCACGAACACTTATGAAAACCAGTATTGGGGACTTCACTGGTGGTCCAGTGGTCAAGAATTTGCCTGCCAATGCAGGGGACATGGGTTTGATTACTGGTCTGGGAAGATTCCACATGCTGTAGGGCAACTAAATCCACATGCCACAACTACTTAAGACTGCGTGCTGCAACTACTAAAGCCCAGGTGCAAGGAGCCTGTGTTCCTCAACAGGAGAAGTCACATCAATGAGAAGCCTGTGCACCACGACAAAGAGTAGCCCCCACTTGCTGCAACTAGAGAAACAAGACCCACCAGCCCAAGAGAAAACAAACAAAAATGGACATTGGGCTACAAAGAAAGCATCCTAGAAACTAAATGAGAAATTGTCTAATCACAATGTAGTACTGAAACAAGCAACCAAAAAAACACATTCTAACTGGATATTACTAAACTCTGAAAACTCTTAGAAATGGCTACTTTTTCAGGAAAATATAGCTCACCCAAGACTGACCTGAGACAGAAAATCTAAACAAGAAATTTTATATACTAGACTCAAGAGAGTTTTACTGGAGAACTCTTATCAGTAAAAGCAGATTTTTATTTCATTTTATTTATGGCAGTATCACGCAGCATGCAGGACCTCGGCTGCCTGACCAGGGGTTGAGCCTGTGCCCCCTGCAGTGGAGGTGCAGCAGCGCCCTAACCACTGGACTGCCAGGGAGTTCCCGGGCAGATCGTTTCACTGCAAGTGAAAACCACTCTAGGATAGAGAAACAATGGGGAAAATTTCAAAAAATTTAAATGAAATAACCACCATGGTTTTTTGTGAGTACTTTTTAAAAATTCTAAATAACAGCAAGCAAAAGCCAAATGCTTTAAAAGAGTGGGATTTATTCCAGGAAGCCTTGATGTTAGTAAATTTATTTTTATTTTAATAGATCCAGGAGAAAAAAATCAGATTAACTCATATACACTAAAGGGCTTTCCTGGTGACTCAGACAGTAAACAAACCACCTGCAATGTGGAGAACCTGGTTTCGATCCCTGGGTTGGGAAGATCTCCTGGAGGAGGGCATGGCAACCTACTCCAGTATTCTTGCCTGTAGAATCCCCGTGGACAGAGGAGCCTGGTGGGTGATAGTTCATGGGGTTGCAAAGAGTTGGACACGACTGAATGACTAAGCACACACACAATACTAAAAAGACACTGGGCAAAAAACAAAACAATCTTCCTGACAGCAATATTCAAGATATGAATAATAAATGTATAGTTCTTATTGATAAAAAACATATTTCAACCACAGAGCCAACTAAGAACAAGAAAAAAAAATGTCCAATTTCATAATTATTAGACATTATATTGCAATAGCAAAAGCAAAAGTAAATTAGTAGAGACTATAGGAAAAGATTTAAGTTTACTTTTTCAGTAAGACTAGAAGCATTTATCATTTGAAAAAAGAATGAAAATCTGGAAAATCAATAGACTTGACCGAAAAAGAAACTATAAGGTTTCATATAGTATAAAACTAGCATACAGAAACCAATAGTTGATATATACAAGTAACCACCAGTCAGAATATAAAATGGAAAAAAGTCTGCCTTCAATACCAAGAAAAAAACCGAAAATATCAAGAAATAAATTCAACAAGAAACATGCAAAAATCTTAGGAAGAAAACTTTAAAAGCCATTAAGTGAAACAACAAAAGACTTAAGTGGAAAGATAATGAATGAATCATCAGAACTGTTCACAAATGTTTGCTTTCCTCATTCTAGCCCTCTGATAGGAAAGCACTTCTTCAACCACTTGAATTTAGGCATGGCCATGTTAATTCCTCTGACCAATGAAATTTGAGTGGCAGTGTCATGTCATTTCTAGATAGAAGGTTAAGAAGCAGTGTTTGGTTCACCTTTTCTTCTATCTTCTATAATCATGGAAGTGTATGTCAACAAAGAGACTTATGTCAGCCTGAATTTCCGAGCAATGTGGAGAAGAAAGCCTCTGGCTAACATAAATGAACATGAAGCATAAGCAAAAAAAAATAACTATTTCTGTTTCAAACAGCTGCAATTTTTAGTGGCATAATCTAGATTCTAATTGCTATCATGTTTTCTTAGGAAAAATCATCATAGAGATGTCAGTTCTTATTAACAAATTTAACATGTTCTCAATATCTATAATTTAGGGGGTATACTATTTTTATTTTAGTATAAAAGAACTAAAAACTGAGTATCAAACACTGAGCTGAAGTATATGTTGGCCGTATGTTCAGATTTTTTAAACAAAGATAAAAAGAATAGACAGCTTTAAGGGTATAATGCATTTCATTACTACACAATATATTCAATGGTTAGAGAAAATCTAGGGGGTGGTATAATTACCTAGCTTCATACATTTAGTAGCACGAGTATAGGAACAAGCCAGGCAACTGGAGGAAAAACCCCTTTCAGGGCTAAACAGAGAGTCCTTGATGGCTGACAGACTCTCCCCTTGCCTTCAGACAAACAAAGGAGTCTGTCAGTATATATAAACACACGGACTTCAGGAGCAACAGGAGCAACAGGACAGGCGTTAGGGAATTGGCTCTTGCCAATGAGGACTGTAGGGGCCAGTCTTAAGTGAGCAGAGGTGGCTGGAGGCTGGAAGTACTGCAGCTCAAGCCCAGAATCTGTAGGTGAGAACAGCAGTCTAGAGACAGAATGGTTAGTGCTTTCTTCAAAAGTTCCCAGATTTTAAAGAAGCTGTGTATTCCATACACACAACACAATATTACTCAGACATAAAAAGGAACGCATTCGAGTCAGTTCTAATGAGGTGGATGAACCTAGAGCCTAGTATACAGAAAGAGAAAGATAAACCTCCTACACTAAAGCATATATAAGGAATCTAGAAAGATGGTACTGAGAAAGTTATCTGCAGTGCATCAGTAGAGACACAGGCATAGAGAACAGAGATAATGGACAGGGAGGGCAGGGGAGGAAGGAGAGGGTGAGATGCATGGAAGAGTGACAAGGAAACTTATATTACCATATGTAAAACAGATAGCCAACGGCGGCGGGGAGGACAAAGGAGGGCCAGAGAAGGGGAAATTCCTGGGTTTTTCAAACAAGTTTAGGATGCTTTCCTCTTAGTGAACATCAATAATTTAAAATAAAAAGACAACACAAAAAACCTAAGCCAACCAATCATTAAGTTCACAACCACCAAAAAAGAACAACGCCAGCGCAGTGGAGCTAGCTGCTCATTTAAAACATAAAGCCCACTGAGTAAAACGCTGTGGCGCTAATGCAAAAGAGGAACAGGAAAAAAGAATTCAGAAGGAGACTTTAATAGGCACAAGAATTTAACATAAAATAAAAGCATACCAAACCAGTGTGGAAAAGATAGATTGTTCAGTAAGTGGTGTTGGAACTAGGAAACTAGCTGTAAAAGAATCAACTAATTCATAGCTTACCTCCTACAGCAGAATAAATACCAAATGTTTGAATGATTTAAATACAAACAATGAAACCATCTAAGAGCTTGAGGAAATCCTGAGAGAACTCTTTAATAATCTTAGACTAGGGCAGGCCGTTATAATAAAGTAAGTAAAAATGAACAAAGAATACGATCATAAAATAAAAGGAAGTAGAAATGGCTTTTAAATATATGCAAAAACACTCAATTTTAATTCAGGAAATGTATTTCTGTGTATATATGCATATTTATTTTCATATCATGTGAATTTGCTACCTACTAAAAAACCAGAAAAAAAAAAAAAAGGAAATAAAACCTAACAGAAATTCTCCAAGACTCGTCAGTTCTATGACACACATTTTAGGAAACATTACAATGGAAAAAATGGTACAAACGTTAGCATAGTTTTTAAGAATTTCCCTCCACCATGACCTATTCTTTCTCTGCAGATTCCACTACATTCTTGCTAAACTTTCCTCCTTTCACTCTAAAAATGCATATCAAAATTCCACATGCCCTTCAGTGATCCAGTTCAAATGTTGGCATCTCCCCAAACCTCCACCTTCCTTAGGAAAGAATTCATTGATCTCTATACTCTCTGCTGATGACACTCTACCATAATAATCTCTCTCATATTTCACATATTTAATTAAATTAATGTCTTCTCCCACCAAATTTTCAGCAATGGAAGACAGCGGCTCTTATATTCATCTCTTAACCTACAAAGATGTCCATTAAATGTCAGAAGACTCAAAGAACAACAAGTAAGACAGTGTCAAAGTATTTTGTAAACAGTAAAGTGCTATAGCAGAGAATTTGAAAAATTAAACAAACACACACCTGAGAAATGAAATTTATGGGACAAAAATGTGAATGAAGTCACTACAGTGCTCACTTCTGGGGAAGGGTGTAGGTCAACTTCCTAAGATGTTGTAAATCTGTATTCTGAGCTGGGTGGCCATAAGGGTGTATGTAAAAAGTCAGAGCTGTACAGTCTCTCCTGTGAATTATACCTCAATCGTACTATTTAAAGAAAAATAGCCAAATTCTTTCCTTAAACAAAATCTAACTGTTTAAAAATATAAAGTTATAGAAAGCAGGGCTGGTTTGCATGAAGCAGAGATAAGGGTGTGAATATCCTTCCATACTGCTCCCCATTTACTCCCTAAATACCCACTGACATGTACCTGTAAAACCCAGGCTCAAAGAACAATTTAATACCCACACATTATACAAAACTAAGGAGGAAAATTCCCTTCTTAGGTGACTGGGGGCGACATTATCACATTTGTCTCCTATGCCCAGAAGCCTAGCATACTGAAAGGTTTAAATGGTAAGGATTTAACATCGTAAAGTTTAAAAAAAACAGAAGAAACATCGTAAGGTTTAAATCTTTCTTGAATGAATGGCACTGATCTTGAACTCACCTCTATTTGTACTCTATACTCTATGTCATGATTATCTCATTAATCTAACTACTACATTCAATAAATGCTTGACAGCAACCTTCTTTAAGGGAAAGCCCCCAGGGTCAGGAGTCATGTATCCTATGAGAACTCAACAGTTATATAAAAATAAATCTGCAGTGAATGCTAGTATGTTCTATACCAAAGATAAAAACACACTTAAAGCCAAATATCAAATTCTCTTTCCCATTATGTTAAAGTGAATTTGATACCTCATCACAGCAGTGCATCCGAGCCATTGCTTCAGAGAGACGGATCATGCTCTCAAGCTGTCGCACTGTAATCCTCCATGAAGACTTGGTTACCCCAGAACCATCCCTCTGGCGGAGGCGTTTATACTGTTCCACAATGAAGTCCTCTGACTCTTTAGAAATCTGTTTCAGAACATTGATGAAGTCAGAGCATTTCTACTTAATGGAAGCTGCATTAAACATGAAGGTTAAAAGCTTCCCAGATAGAGATACTCTGGGGGAACTGAGAGGGTCAAGACTTTGAAACCAATGACAAGAAATTAGTACTGAAATACCTTTCAAAAGAAACTAATACGAAGGAGGACTATGAATTCCATGCACTGATTTTACGAATAGGAAGACAGTAGTTAGTATTTCAATATGTATGTAATAGTCCTCCCCACTCTGTGGCTTCTCCACATTCTGTTGTTTCAATTACCTATGGTCAACTGTAGTCTAAAAATATTGAATAGAAAATTTCAGACCGAAACAATTCATGTTTTAAATTGTGTGCTGTTCTGAGTAGTGTCATGAAATCTTAGCAGCTGTCCAATGTCTCACCCAAGATGCGAATCATCCCTTTATCCAGAATATCCACAGTGTATATGGCACTTGCTTATTAGTCAGTCAGTAGCAAACTCAGTTGTCAGATCAACTGTTAGGGTAACACAGTATTTATGTTCAAGTAACACTTTTTTACTTAATACTGCTTCCCAAGCGCAGGAGTAGTGATGCTGGCAATCCAGATATTCTCTTATTGTGCTAACTTATAGGAAAAAACAGTATATATAGGGTGTGGTACTACCTGTGAACTCAGGTATCCACTTGGGATATACTTAGCAGCTATTTCAGTAAACCTGATCATTTGTTCAATAATAACAACAAAGTAAGGCAAACTAAAGGATACTCAGTTTTTCAGAGCCCTCAAGGAACTAAGTGTGTTAAGGAAGCATGCCAAAGTTATAGACGGGCCAGTTAGCCGTGGAGAACAAATGCCTCTGCAAACAAAAGTGATATTCTACCCTTTCCTTGGGACAGTGAGAGTCAATTCTGATATTAGGGATGATCAAGTGAAGGTGATAGGTAATTAAAATCTAAGCATAACTCCCAAAAGTCAAGCCAGAAATAGTGTAGACATTTCAACAAGAATCAAACGAAAATTTTTTCTATATTCTATTTTAGGATAATGCCAAACAACATATGCATTATGGAGTTTATTTATTTTTTTTAAATGTTGGTAGGAGGGGGGTTCAGGATGGGGGACACATGTACACCCATGACTGATTCATGTCAATGTATGGCAAAAACCACTACAATATTGTAGTAATTAGCCTCCAATTAAAATAAATAAATTAAAAAATAATAACAACAAACAAACAAAAATAAACATCCAAGTGAGCATCCTGAATCCAGTGCAGATTTAATCCGAAGATCTACATCAATTACTGTAAGATAGTTATTTATGTTCATTACAATGAACTAGAGGAATCCAAGTTTTTCCTCAGAGGAAGATTCAAGAGCATCTGTAGACTACTGATTTAAGCATACACAGTTTTAAAATTCTTAGGAATAATGATCGAAATAAAAGGATAGTCTAGTTTGTTTGGTTATTCAAAACTCTTATTAGCACCTAGTAAGTAGAAGAAAAGGAATATTTCAGACTTTTAAAACATTCCTTTTTCTCAAGTCTCACTGAAGAAATAAACTGTTATTCAAAAAAAAAAAAAAAAAGCCAAAACAAACCCCCAGATCAAGCCAACCAACCAACCATAAAAAATCCTCAAATCCGGTTAAGTTAATTTCCAAGTAAGGCATCTGTTTAAATGCCACATACTCATCATGCCTGAATACAGTTAAGGGCAGGTTACCTTGGGTTTAAACTGTCTTGCAAAAAGAAGATACCTCCTGATATCATCAAGGGAATACACACGATCAATGGAATCCTCAATTCTTGAATGCAAGTCTACTATTCGCCTGGCAATAGCATAATCTGTAACCTAATTACAAACAAGAAAATCACTTTGATCAGTTACAGTAACATCCACTCCAGACTATCCTAGGCATTAAGAAATTATTTGTAGCATGATAATCTCAAGCTTTAATATGCCACCATAAGATGTATTAATGGGTTCAAGTTTCTGAGGAAAGTTTAATACCAGTTTCATCCAAAATCAAATGCTTAAATGTATAGCTGTGCCTTACTCTAAGTAAGACTATTCCTGAAGAAATTAACTGACTTAATTAATCTGACAGAAATAAGAGTTCTAGGGCCTTCAGTAAACGCCAGGCTCTATTGCCTTAATGTTGAGAAGCATTAATTCATACAATCCTCACAAAGACCTTATTAGGTAGATAACATTACCCCATTTTACAGATAAGTAAATTTAGGCCTGAAAAAATTAAGTAACTTGTCCAACATCACAGTTAGTAACTGAGCAAGGATTTGAAGAGTTTAGTTTCAGAATATGTCCTCCTAGCCACTGTATCATGCTGCCACTTGTGAATATATGAAGATAATCATCATAAAACTGTTACTAACACTGAATAAAATCATACTAAAAATACGCAATTTACTCTCAAATGGTATAGAAAAAAATGTAGAGATATACAGAGCAAATGGTAAAGCAAATAGGGCAAAAACTTATGTGAATTGAATAAAGGGTATATGGGTACTATATGCATTACTGTATTTCCTGCACTTTTCTGTAAGTTTGAAATTATTTCCAATTAAAAAGTTAAAAATTAATAAATTATGTAGAGACATAAAATATATGAAAATCAGTCCATGCCCAACAATGGGGGGTAGAGACTGGGTTAAACATTTCATATAGATTTATGAAGGAAAAGAACCAAAACCAAAGATAAAACAAGAAAACCCTCTGACGTTGACATTATTGGAAGGCAAATTTTTATTTAGATAAATTTAAAACTTTACTGTAAGCAAGAGTTATGTATTCTGCCTGAAGTAATGTAGTCTCTCCATGCTCAGTAATTAAAAGTACAGTACAATATTACCTTCTAAGGTCATTTTGCAATTCTGCATACATCTGAGATGTGCAATGTTGTTAAATATTTAAGTCTAAGTAACTCTAATACTAGGCTTCCCTTGTGGCTCTGATGGTAAAGAATCCGCCTACAATGCAGGAGACCTGAGTTCAATTTCTGGGTTGGGAAGATCCCCTAGAGAAGGGAAAGGCTACTCACTCCAATACTGTGGCCTAGAGAATTCCATGGACTGCACAGTCCATGGGTCACAAAGAGCTGGACACGGCTGAGTGACTTTCACTTCTTTCAACTCTAATACTAACATGTTAGAATGTAAGTAAATCCACAATTTCACATTCAATCTTAAAACTGCTACATAATTAGAAAAAAATGTGACACATGCAGTAATTTGACAGGAAGATATAGGGACACAAATGACTCATAATTTGCGGAAAAAAAGGAAAGTTGTTTGGTACCTGAATTCTTTTCAACCTTAATGAAAAAACAAAAATCTAATAAAAATCTTAAAGGGTACAGTTAAGAACTGTGTTTTTTTTTTTTTAAGAATTAAAAAGCAATAACAAAAACAACAAACTTGATATTCCTTAACAAAATTAAGCAGAACCATCATTTAAGTGATTTTGAGTTGCTTAATAAACCTATCTAATCCTGTGCCACTCAGATATATGAAAGGTCAGTGCCAACACATGCACCAATTCTTCATGAGTACATCTTCCAGGTTTGTCTCAATCAATTACTCAAACTGGAAATAATAAAGGGAGCTCAGAGGGACAGCTTGAGTAGTTACCTCATTACATTCATCCACAAGTATAAAGAAGAGATCAAATCGGGACATGATAGGAGCTGACAAATTTATATTCTGTTTCAACGATTTTGATCTGTCATAGTGTCCACTGATGGGGTTTGCTGCTGCCAAAATGGATGTCCTGGCGTTCAGAGTAGCCTGACCACAAAAGGAAAAAATCATGACAGGTTTAAAGACAACTGGAATGGCATATGACAAACCTCAACCACATTCATAATTAACAAAAACCAAAATAATAAGATATCATCTTTCACCTACTAAATCATTGAAATCAAAGTCTGATATAGCAACAGGTATCCCCATACAATGTTGCTGGTATGATGTGTATGCCCTTTAAGTCAGCAATTTCTTACTAAGAGTTCATCTTGCAGCCAGATATAGGAAGAGGCGTACAATGCTTACAATGTTGTTTGTAATACAAAAGGCTGGAAATGACCTAAACATCACTCTTTTTTATAAGAGCCTAATGAGTCAAACTGGGGTATATACAAGCGAAAATCATGGAGTAATAAAAAACTAAAGTGGATCTTAAAAAAAAAAAAAAAACTAAAGTGGATCTAATATATGGTATAGAAAAACTATCAAAATAAAATTACAAAGTTAAATGAGCAAGGAATAAAACTTTTTGTGCATTATACTTATTTATGATAAAATATTCCTAAAAGGGACATAAACTCAGCAGACATTTCTGAGTATCTACTGGTGCTGGGAGAAGGAGATTTCTCTTTTTAATTTACATTTACCTCTTACATTTTTCTTAACTATTTGAATGTATTACTTTTATTTTTAAAGATTTATTTCTCTCTAATGATAATTACAATATTGTGTCAGGGAATGTTTGACGAGAGGATTCCTACGTGCTATCTCTCATGAGTCCTCTGTCCCTCTTCAAGCGAACAGCACCCTGCTCCCAGGGACTGAGGTCATTGTGTGAGGCAGGCTTGGGTCTCCTTTAGTAAACATTCTCTTTAGGACAAAACTGCTTAGTCTCGTTCCCCTTTCTTGAGACATGGATTGTCTCCTGACCTTGTGACTAACAGTACCCCTTGTTCCCTTGGTAACGGTTGCTATACGTTTGGTTTTCCGATCTCTATCATTCCTGAAAGAAGTTTCTTGTACCACAGCCTATATATACTCATAGAGAAATCATTAAAGCACCTTTGCTCCATCAGAGCTTAGGTCCCCGGGTCTTTTTTCTCTCTCTTTCTCTCTTTTACTTTCTTATCGTCGACTCTGTACCACCAGGTTCCGGTCCATTAAAGGACCCCAACAATATTGTACTTATTATTTCCATTTAAATGATTTGTCAATTTTATTTCTGTTACAATTGGAAGCACACTGTAGCAAAGACTACAGATAAGCTTTGTGGAAATTTTGAAAGAGCTAACAATTTCACTATTACTTCCTCTACTTTGTGTCATAACAATTAATTTTCACAGTACCTTTAACAGCACCTGTAATTTGTAGTCAAGTGCTCTATCCCTGAGCTATGCCCCCATCACCTGTAATTTGGATTAATCCTAAGGGCTATATTTTCCATTTCAATTAACAGCATTTCATGTTGAAGTAATTAATGCATTTTATCTAAGTGATCACCTCCAGAGCTACAGAAGTCTACAAGGCTAAGGCATGATGGAGTGGAACAGAAGTGGACACGCATACCTTCACTCCTGCTTTGGTGATAGAGATGGTTTGCTGTTCCATAGCTTCATGAATAGCAACCTGATCCCGCACATCCATCTTATCAAACTCATCAATACAACATACACCCTGTAATCAAATAAGCCTGGTATAAGAAACTTCCTTTCAGATGTCAAACGGCAAAGAAACTCAAAGTTTGCTACCATAGTGACTTTAAACAACTAAGGTAAGTAAGCAATTCCAATTCCCTCTACTAGAGTAAGACAGTATTAGATCCCCAAGGGAACCATACAACTTACAACTCATTTTAAACTTTAAACTAAAGATAAAACTAAAAACAGGCAGTTACTTATTGCACTTTTATTCAACATCCAAATGTGTAAATCTCAGGGTCAAAACATTCTGGATCACCTCAGTGTTGATTTTAGGCTCAAAGTGAAGGAGGAAGTTGGAACATAATGTTTCTAAGTATATACAGCTCAATTTACATGCATTCACAGATCTAACTGATCTATGACAAATACATGCAAAATGCAATAGATATACTCACAGATGTATCACAGTCTAGAAAGGAGAAAGTGCTGAGACATACTAGTCATAGCAAACAAGCTCAGGGCAGGCAATATAGTCTACAGAAGTTCAGAAAGTGCTGACTAATGATTATAATCCCAATTTCTAGATTAATAAAACTATAAATTATTCACTAAAAGTATCTTATTTTTTCTTGAAAAAGAACACCTTAATAGAAACTTATAGGTCTTTATTGATAGGGTAGGGGGTATTCTGATTTCTTTGTATCTAATCAGGTAAAATGTTCTTACATTATCAGCCAGCATCAAGGCTCCAGCCTCAATGACAAACTCATGAGATTCTTCATCTCTCACAACAGCTGCCGTTAAGCCAGCAGCACTGGATGCTTTGCCACTGGTGTAGACAGCTCTGGGACTGAATTCCTCTACGTGCCTGTTGAAGGTTATCATATTCATTAATATATGATTACAAAGCATCCTTTTCAGGATTATCAGCTTGATACAGTTTACATCAATTAAGAATTTACATCAAGTAAGAATTTAAGAGAACATTTGGAAAAGGCATTAAAAAAATGCAATAAAGATATATGCCATAGACCAAATAGAAAGTCTTTTCTCCTTTGGTCTTCTGAATAGGCTAAATCCATTCCTGTCAAAGGAAGATGAAATTCATACATGACAAAAACATCAATTAACAGTTTGGCACCAGTAATCTATTAGAAGACCTTGCACTTAAAAAATGAAGACAAACAAACAAACAAAAAACAACCATAACAACAAAAATAAAATAGATGTGAAATTTATTCCAAAAAGGTAAGGTTGGCTTAACAACTAAGAAACAGTAATATGCCATATTAAAAAAGATAAGAAGCATTAAAATAGATGCAAAAAGTGTGAAAAAATCTAATACCCTCTCATGAAAAAAACTCAACTAATTAGAAGAGGCTTTCCCTCAACCTGCTAAAGGGTATCTATGAAAACCCACAGCTAACATCATACTTATCTAGTAAAAGACTGAATGCTTTTCCCCTAAGAACAGGAATAAGACTTATGGGTCTATTCCTGCCACTTCTATTCAACATTACACTGAAAGATTCAGCCAGGGCAATTAGGCAAGAAAAAGAAAAAGGCACCCATATTTGAAAGAAAAAAGAACTATCACTATTTGCATTTAACATGATCTTGCAGACAAGTTAGATCCACTAAAACACAACTAATAAGTCCACTAAAAAAGAATAAATCAGTTTGTTCATGTTGCAAGATAAAAGACCAATAGTTGTATTTCCCCACACTTGCAACAACCCAAAAATGAATCTAAGAAAACAGTTCCATTTATATTAGCATCATAAAGAATAAAATACTTAGGAATAAATTTAATAAAAGAAGCACAGCATATACACTGAAAACTATAAAGCATTACTGAAATTAAAGATGACCTAAATAAATGGAAAGATAACCCATGTTCATGGATCAGAAGACTTAATATTGTTAAAAAGCAAATATAATCAGGTACAATACAATACTGCTCAGAGGCAACACTAGTACATCTTTTGTGGTGGTGATGGAGAGATGGGAGGCAGGAGCAACAGAAATGAAGAAAAATAAAGAGAATTCATTTAACACAGGACTATTACCTTCAAGCCTAGAACTCAGTCCATGATATACTTGAAGGAAATAATATTTAATTTTAAAGCTCCAGCTAAAAATTTTATGTTCTAGAACACTGCCAAGTTAAAAATTTCCCAAATAAAGGAAAGGCAGCTTGATACAGTATGAAGAGCACATGCTTTGCAATCAAAGGCTGAATTCTAATATTCATGGCTTAGAGCCACCTGTCAGCTCTAAGGAATTAGACAATTTACTGAGACTCAGAGTTTTGTTTGCCTCCCTGGAAAAAAAGAGAATATTATATGCCTGTCTGAATGCTGGCAGGACATGACATAATACACAACACACATACACAGACACACACAGCACCAAGAACACAAGAGGTGCTCAAAAACTGGTTGCCATTATCTTGACCTCTAAGTTTCTTAAATGTCTGAAAGTAAGCAAGTATTTATAGCTTTTAAAAATTAGCAGAAAAAAAATTAATAAAAACTAGCAGAAATTGCTAACTTCATATTGGTAAGTTCAGCATAAAATGCCTCATCTTTATCACACTGTTTCTGAAAATTGTGTCCTGTATAAGAACCGTGAAGACATTTGTATTCTTAACCTCAGCAATCCTATGCCTAGGAATTTACCCAAAGGAAAATAATAAAATAAAAACTTATACACATTATGATGTTCACTGTATTTGATCATTAAAATAAGTTACTCTGTTAAATTGTCTAATATCAGGGTAGGGGAATTATCTTTTAAGCTATAATATGCCAACAAAAAACCATTGTGAAAATAGAGAAACATCGAAAAGTATTTAAGGTATTAATTAAAATTAAAAATATGCATGCTGTGACTTATAACCATGGAGATATATATATATTCATACATTCAAAGAGTTTAATACAAAGATTAAAAGAATTCTGTGTGGGAATGTAATTACAATTTTTACTTATTCCAAAATCTGTAAAATGTTGTTACATTCTCCTTAACGAATTAAGGTGTACTTTAACCTAAGAGAGTTTTTGAAAGCCTGCAACTATGCGTATTATTTTCTTTGTTGTACTATCTCAGGCAAACACTTACTTGAGAAACTGGCTCTTAGCTGTACTTGGGTCACCAACAATGCAAACATTTATATCCCCTCGAAGAGAGGTCCCTTCCCCTGTTGTCTTTGGGACACCACCAAAGAGCATCAGCAAGACACCCCGTTTTACTTCATCATTACCTGAAATAAAAACCCAAGGTATTTTTCAACATGAGTTTAAACAATTTCACAGGACACTACAAAGGCATGTTTACCAACCAAAAGCAAAGGCAGCTGAAGCAAAGCTAAGACCAGAGTAAAAATATCTATCTGGTTTCTCACCTTGATCTTTGTTCTCGTCCTATGAATGCAAAGTCACCTAATCACTGTACTAATACCTTCACCTGAAAAAGATGCTGATGCTCACCAATCTAAGAGTCTTTCCTTGTCTATAAGTCCTGCTTCCTACACAAAGTCTTTCTCTATGTCACAGTCCTCAAATACCTCTCCCCACAAATAAACTATGTCCACTACAGCCTACCATATTTGTTAGTTCTTTCCAACTGCAGGTTATACAGCTCTATCAAGAGTTTCAGGAAATGATCCATGACTTACCTCTTTTGTATAAGGAATAGTGACCCATGCTGAATATAAATACAAGCTAACTGAACTGATATGGATTAGGCAAGATGCTGAATGTGACCTACAGCTGCTTCTAAGAACTGTTTTTGAATGTATGACGGAAATGAACAATTAAAAAAAAACACACACAACACCAAATTTTAGAAATGTGATATTGGAAGAAACATTCTTCTGTCTTAATTATTATGACTTTCTGTGAATGCCATGAACGAAATGCTGGCACATGTACACAAAGCAGAAAATTTCCTTAGAAGCAGAAAATTTAAAATCCATTTCAAAAACAAACTTTCTGACTTATAACCTGTATGAAACAAATGCGTTGGAGGTGTGGTAGTTTAAAATAGCCCACAAATTATTTGATAATCCTCATTTCTAGATGGAGCTTAAAATTCTCCTCTCCGTAAGTGTGGCTGGGCTTAGTAACTTGGTTCCCACAAATAGCATATGGTGGAAGTGAAGGTGTATAACTTCCAGCACTAGGTCCTGAGACGCATTTTGCTTCCTCCTTGCTCTGCTCTCTTGGACTGCATGCTCTGAAGGAAGCCAGCTGCTGTGCTATGAGGACACTGGAATAGTCCGGTGAAGAGATTCATGCGGTAAGGAACTGAGGCTTCCAGCTAACAAGCACTGACAGATAAGCAGTGAGTGGATCCTTTTAAGTGGATCCTCCAGCTCACGTCAAGTCTTCAGATGACTACAGCCCTAGGTGACATCCTGGCTACAAAATCTACAAAGACTGACCAAGACCACACAGCTAAGTCTCTCTCAAATTCCTGACTGACAGACTATATAAGATAATGTTTGCTATTTTAAGCCATTAAGTTTGGGATAATTTGTTACATAGCAATGGATTAACTTATGGTGGGAGAATGGAACAGTATAAAAATTTGATACCTACTCATTGTAAGGGAGGATACTCTAAAATCCACAAAGGATTATTAACATTAAGGATTTCAGTTCAATTTCACTGACCAAATATTTAAGCAGAGAAAAAGGTTAATTTTCAATGATTAAAACTACATACCTAAGGCAAATAACCATAATCTTATTAACTCCTGCCATTACTTCAACTGAATATGGAGGGATGGAAAAAAAAAATAAAGCATGAGACCTGAAAAGATAGTCACATCCTTCAATGTGCAAGGGGATTTAATGACAGTGAGCAGCTAGTAACCAAGAGCTAAGAAAGTGTGAAAGTAGAAACCACAAGATATAGGCATAGTTGTTCAGTCACTAAGCTGTGTCTAACTCTTTGTGACCCCATGAACTGCAGCACGCCAGGCTTAGGCACAGTACATATAACCAAAAAAAAAAAAAAAAGAAATCTCTTCCCATTGTGAAAACTAACAAGAAAAAAAGAGATCAGGATATTAATCTGGCATATCAGAATACACTTACATGCAGTTTTGTCCTAAAGTCCGAAAAAGACGACTAAATGACTTTTTCTTTTTTCAAAAGAAAACTGGCAAAATACACACAACATAAAATTAACCACTGCAACCACTTTTAAGGGGTTCAGTGGAATTAAGTACATTCACTATCTTTTACAACCATCACCCATTCACTTCTAGGACTTTTCATAACCCCAAACACAAATTCTATCCATTAAACAATTCCCTATTTCTCTCCTCAGCAGGTAATCTTTTTCTACTTTCTCTCTCTATGAATTTACCTATTTTAAGTATCTCATTTTAACTGGAATCATGTAATATCTGTCCTTTTATAAATGACGTTTTAAAATCCCTTCTAAACCCACTAAAAACCTTTTAACATCTGATTTATGTATTTTAAGAAGTTACATGTTGCTGTTTTACAAACAGTACTTTGACTTCAAGCTTATTTCACAGATAGACTTCTTACCATGTATAGTAGGGAACAGGCTTGTACAAAGATTGTGGTACAGATTTTTATCTTGACTCATTTCAAACACTTTCTCCCACTCCTTCACAGTCATTTGGTTCTTAATGCTCTCAGCTGTCTGTTCCTCATCTCGGAGCTCTTTTCCTCCAAACTGAGGGGGAGAAGACAGGAAAAAAATAGTAGTATAAAAACAGTCAAAATAAAGCGAAAGATAAGAAACATCACCACAAACAAAATACATCCTGGGAGGTCAAAATCTGTTGACTGTAAAGGTTTAAAAACAAAAAATCTAAGCAGTATGGCCTAAGTTAACCAGGATTCCAAGGAGCTTGTCATTTGTCTAGTGATTTATAAATAACAAAAAAAGCTACCATTGTTTTGCACTGCTATCTAAATGAATCCAGATGCTCAAGAGATGAGCCATAATAAAATGGTAATCATTGTTATGAAGATGAGAATGCACAGAATATTATGTTCACTCCTCATTTCCCAACACTGGACTATTTTCCAAAATTTTTCTCACTGCTTTCCCATCCTGCAAACAAAATAAAAGTTCTCAACAACTATAATACCAGGGGTCAATCACTCTCAGGAAGAGTAATTTATAAGCTATTTCCCAGATTACAAAATTTTTCTACTTGTACTTTCTCAAGGAGTATGACAGAGGAACCGTAACAATTAAAAAACAAACAAGACCACCCCCACCTCCAGAAAAACCACCATTAGTAATATAATACCAATGTGCTTAAAGCACTGAACTTTAACACACAAAAATAAGTAACACTTTTCCTTAAGGTCAGGAAGACAAGGCATGAAAAAATCTGGTTTTAGAACTAAAGAGCAAATCTCAACCCAAACACTTGTCTTTAACACTGAATTTGCGGCAGCCTCAGGTAATGTCTTTCTTAAGCTTTGCCATTCTACTAAGACACTCACCCTTGGGTTGGTTGGTGCAACACAGCAGGCAAGAAAAACCAGCCTGTATGAAAGGTCTCTAACACCAAGGGCCCGGAGACCTCGAACACCTTCTGTCTCATATCCATCAACACCACTGACACGGGAATCAGTTTCTGCACGTGCTCCTGAAACATTAAATGATAGGTTGTTTCATAGCTCAAATACTGATAATCAAAATTGCTCAGATAAATGAAACTTAAAAATCTAAAAATTTCATTTCAGCTTTGAAAATTTCAGAACAGTAGGTTCTGTAGCAAAACCAGTTAGTCTTTGTTAGCATTATAGTTCCTTGCTCACTCTGATTGGTAGCCAAAAATAAGGAAGAGGCAAGAAGCTAGATGTTCTGCAATAACAGAATTTGTTAAACTGGAGCCACAGATTACTGACCTGGTGTGCTAAGCTTAGACACGTCAGGCACAACAATCAGCGTCCCTGTAAAGTCACATTTGTCACCAGCTTGAGCTGACTCCACAGCTTCAGCCCTCAAGATCACTTCTAGACTACGGGGGATACTCCCTCGAGGAAGCTCAGCTTGAGTCTCTTGAATACGAACCTATAACAGAGACAAATAAATGACCAAGGATGAGATCTCTTTCAACTGCCATGTGATCTTAATTAAATGCACAAATATTGATATATCCTAAATTATCTTACTAGTTGGCAGACTTTTGACATGTGCCAACATTCATCTTAAAAATTCTCCAGACAAAAACCACTGCAATGATGTAAAGTAATTAGCCTCCAACTAATAAAAATAAATGGAAAAAAAAAATTCTCTACCATAAAACTCTTTTCAATTTGGTAAGATATTACATCTATTTAAAAACTGCAACTTCACTTTTACTTTCATTAAACAATACATATTTTGTTCTCTTTGTTGAAATTTACTTTGTGCTTTGGGTCCCATCCTCCTCTAAATTGTCAGGGAAACTTTATGAAAAATTCACATCTATAATACTCTCCACCTCAGTGCAACTGTTAACATTACTTAAGATACACATGTTTACTATATTATTTGAAAGAAGTTGCAAAAATCAAGGTATTTTACCCCTAAACATTAAAGCACTCATCTCCTAAGAATAAAGACAATCTCCTATGTAACCACAATGCCATCAATCACATTAAGGAGTTAAGTATTTAATTCCATGTCTTCTATTATCCAGTCCACTTTCGTATTTCCCCAATTGTCAAGAATGTCCTTTATTACAGCTGTTCCCCTCCACAACCTAAATTCATATTTTGGTATTTGGTTTTTATATCAAGTTCTTTATCAGATACAAAGCATCTCTTATCCAAAGTTGTGGGTAGAGTACAGGCTTCTTACTAACCAAGTATCAAAATAATACAAGCAAACTAAGTAAAGACTAATTCAACTAATTCAACTAAAAGTTGAATTTAATATTATTTATTTTAGTCTGGTACTCATTCTCCTAGTGCTTGAGCTACCGCAACTTTTCTTTCCTCCTTGCATATTCCAGAGTTACTCAGTCCTGAAGAGACTTAGCCCCTTCATTCTTAACTGCTACCATCTATCTCTTGCCCAGGTAACCATAACTGCTTGTTAGTCTCTAGTTAAATACTACCACTGTTGTCCCATTAATCTTCCTGAAACAAAGAAAAATACACATCTGAAAACGTATTCCTCTTGCTTTTCAAAACAGGTCCAAACTTCTCAATTTGAGGATCCAAGTACTTCCATGCCTCATACCAAATCATCTCTCAGATGATCTCCAATTTGGTTCTTCTACTTTAATCATGATAATCCCCACAGCTACTGACAAGCGTGTCCATTTTCACCTGTCCTTTTACTTATGCCTTCCTCCTGCTTAACCACCATCTCCAAATCTTATACCAAGTCTCTACTTCTTCAAAGTTTCCATAACTCTAACTTATAGTGATAACTAATAACAAGTTACTGTTTATTCTTTGACAAATATGTTTTATTTGTCTGAAGGAGCTTCCAAGATACTAAAAGTTAGAACACATTATATACTGATAATTGAAATTTGCATGACAAATTTTTAGCTTAAACTTGTAGTTTTTATGTAAGTTACGGATCTTTAGGCAATTACAACATTGCCTAAGTTAAACTGATAATAATAATTACAAGTGCCTAGAAGTGAATTATTAGCATAGGCTGAATCTGATCTAAACAGAATACCTTTTGAAAATCAACAAATCTTGATTTATTTGTATCCAGCAGGAATCTCCGTCTGTTGGCACAAACTGGATTTCGACAGATGTTTGGCTGTGTGTATTTGAACTGCTGTTCCACATCCTTGATCACTGTCTGACAGTCCAAGCACAGGAAAGTTCCGCTTACAAGCTCTGGGTGAACTGGGTGAGTCCGTACCACCTGCCCACTGATGCGAGTAAGCAAACCAATTCTGGATGAGGTGAGCTCTCGAATTCTGTTTAAAGAAAGATACTGCATTAGTAAATGTTCATTTCCAAACTAAAAATATTCACTTTTAATGAGAGATATTCAAAGACAATTTATGCTTAAAACAATAAGAGACAAGGTATTCTTTAGACTCTCCTAAAAGAGTGATTTAGTCAACATGCCCATTCCTGAAGTATAATGTACATGCATCACAACAAAATACATAAATGAATAATAATAATAAAAAACCAAAAAAACAAAAAAGCCACCAAAAAACCTAAGTAAAGGACATCAAAGAAATGCAATTACAATTATAAAACAGGGGCTTCCCAGATGGCACAGTGGTAAAGACTCTGTATGCAATGCAGGAGATGTGTGTTTGACCCCTGGACTGGGAAGATCCTTTGGAGGAGGAAATGGCAACCCACTCCAGTTATTTTTGCTGGGAAAAAGCTCAGGGACAGAGGAGCCTGGTGGGCCACAGCTTATGGCATCACAAAGAGTTGGACACAACTGTGTGACAGAGCACACACGCAAATATATTTTCTGCTGACCTACATTTCTAAATAAGTATTTTTATTGTACAGTTGTCATGGGGGCAAACTTGTTTGAACTTGAAGGTTTAGAAAACACTTTATTTCAGAAACTCATTTTATAGTAAATAACTTGATAACTTTATAGGTAATTTTAGTAAAGTTTTCAAAATATCACTTTAATTTCCTCCAATAAATTTATTCTTTAAAAAACTGCTAAAGAGAACAGTTTAAAAGTTATGCTATTTAAGCTCTTGGCAATTCATTACTTTTTGTGACTGCTCTCAATTTTCCTATTTTCTCTCTAAATTAAGCTTTCACGTAAACATCCCTTAAAAGGTGTCCTAAAGTATTATAATCCCTAGAAATGACTTTACCTAACTTACTTCCCTTTCCATTTCCCTGGAAATATAGATTTTTCCAAAACTAAATGTTCTGGATAAGTGGGTATAACTCTTTACAGATATAAGATTACAACCTTCTGAGCTTTCTGACAAGTGACAGCTATACTATTCAGTGAATTCTTTTTCCTTTCAAAGAGTTTCTTACTTGTGTCTGGTAGGTAGGTCTTGAAATGCAACATAAAAATCCTTGGCAAGAGGGATCTCTTTACGGTCTTTGACAAAGGTTTTCAAGGCTCGACATAGGTAAGGGTAAACTCTGAAAAGCAAACAAGAAGAAAATCAACTTACAACTTTAAGAGGCTTACCAAGCCCTCTTTTCCCTTTCATGCTTCCCAATAGCTGAAACCAAGGAATTTCATCTGATTACATCCAAGCGCTAGAATGTAATTATTCAGGACTCTTCTATCATCTGGTCCAGGAACCTCTTTAATCCTCTATTACACCACAAATACATCTAAGATAACACAAACACCAAATATAAAGTGCTATTCCTTGATATCTATAATTTTTAAATAATCATTTAGTAGGCACACCACAGACCGCTCCTCTGCCCAAGATTACTCTTCTTGAACCTGGGCAGTGTACTACCTTTTAATAGCAAAGCAGCCTCCCATTTGGTGTCAAGGCCTAGTATATTCTTCTAGGTTTAATTCTTGATTGACAGGAAATGGATAAGGGTAGGGAAGGAATCTGTGTACTGATGTGAGAGCAAGTTGGCAGAAACGTTTCACCTAACTGGTTAGGTGGGTGTGTGCAGGTCCCCTTAAGTTTTTTTAGTTTTTTTTTTTTGAGTTAAGTTTTAAACTGCTGCAGTAGCTTGGCTTACGCAGTAGGATATGGAAGTCCTCTGAAGGATCAGCTACTCTCAGGAGACAGAACTGTGCAGCAGAGTCTGTGCATGAGGTATGGACGTAGGTGTTTCTACCATCAGCCCAATTTTCTACCTCCCTCTCACTTGTCAGGACAACTTTTCCTACTGCATACATTCACAATAAATTCTACTGCTTATCCTTCTAGCCATTCTTGATAGTCAGATATAACTAGAAACACTGAGACAAATCCATCTCCCAGTCCACCAGGTGAAAAAACAGGACTGTGACTCCTTATTCCTGGGTCTTCATTTCTCCTTCATAACTGTCCACAGTGTTTATTTTAATCTGATTTTATTTATACAGATTGTCACATTTATTTAATCCAAATGAAGACAGAATTCTGTGTATAAAGATGTTTCTTGCTTTATATAGCAATCAAAAGCAGATTAAAAGCCTAATGTCTAACTTCTGCCCCCCAAATATTCTTTAGCTTTTAAAATGTTTCAAGGGATTTTATTTAATATGGGATGGGGAATGGATTAAGTGAATGACACAGCAATAGTACCGAATGCCTGACACAAAATAAGCAAATCTCTTAACACTTGGAAAAACTATCAATAGAAAGCAGAGATTTTCAATATCTGCATGTGAAAACTAGTCAACCCCACAAAGGCCTAAATTAGCTCAGAGCGGCACTAAAATGACCACTGGCTGTAAAAAAGGGCTTCTGTGACACCTGCCCTCCCTTTATCCTCAAAAATTAACACTTTCATTCCAACAAGAGGTGGCTTCCCAGGTTCCATGTCTACTTAAAGATTAATATACCATACCTATAGAACTCCTCTTGAATGGTGGTAGAAAGTTGCTGGTTAAATTGCTCCAGGTCCACAAAACTCACAACCAGCGTGTTTCTCTCAGGACGAATTAACTCCTCAGCTAACTGCAAGTACTTAATTTCTCCATCGCTGTTCTGGAACCTGCAGATACATACAAATCAGATGAAACTGAAATTAGGCAGTAAAAAGAAGAATCTGAATGCCTGATAATTCGGTGTACTGGTTAAAGATCATCAGCTTTAGGGCCAGAGAGGCCCACTTTAGTAGTTGTACATCTTAAGGCTAGTTACCTGTCTTCTCTAAACCTGTCCCTCTTCTTTTTGAATATAATAATAATAAAAAAGATTGGAACATCATCCTCTAAGGTTAACTGTCATGATTAAATGAGAGAATGCCTACGAAATCTTTTGTAAACTTGGGAAAATAGAAAAACTAGGTCTTCAGATTTAAATCTGAATCCCGGCCCCCCCAATATTTATTGATTTAGCTGCATCGGGTCTTAGTTGTGGCATGTGGGATCTTCACTGCGTTGTGTGGGATCTTTTTTTGCAGCACATACTTTCTAGTTGTGGTGTGCTGGCTGGCTCAGTAGTTGAGGCCCACAGGCTTAGTAGTTCTATGATACGTGGGATGTTAGTTCCCTGACGAGGGATCAAACCCACAACCCTTGCATTGCAAGGTGGATTCCTAACCACTGGACCACAAGGGAAGTCCCAAATCTGAATTTCTTGATTTACCATTTCCCAATCTTAACTGTACATAACAACAATAAAAGAACAGTTAACATTTGTTGATTAGAAAATATTAAATAAAAAAACTCAGGTTATAATCCAAAGATTCAATTTCTAAAGGGAAAACTGACAGATTGTTGATTTAAGAACAAGAATATCAATAAATACATGGAAACGAGGTGCTTCAGGGCTCAAGACCTCAGGGAAGTGAAAATGTACATAAATACAAAGTAAAACTGGGGTGCTTTTTCCTAACAAGTATCATACTAACATATTTACTTTTTATTCTTTTAACATAGCCATGCAGATAGTTTTGAGGAAAACTAAACTATTCCTTCAAACACAGCATGTTGTTTAATACATTATGAACATCTCTCTGGAAAGCACTATACCAGAGGTACCATAAGTTGGAAATAACAGCATTGCTCTTCTCCTAGGGTTGACACTCTCATAGGAGACATTTCTATTAAAGAGACGGATAAGACATCTAAATGTCTAAGACAAATGAATCAACAAAATGTTTATTCAATCTTTTTCTAAAATTTATTTTTTCATTGAAGGATAATTGCTTTACAGAATTTTGTTGGTTTCTGCCAAACATCTACTTGCAATCAGCCACAGGTATACATGTGTTTCCTCCCTCTTACCTCCCTCTCCACCCTGCCCCTCTAGCTTGTTACAGAGCCCCAGTGTGAGTTCCCTGAGTCATACGGCAAACTCCCATTGGCTATCTATTTCACACATGGTAATCTAAGTTTCCATGTTACTCTATATGTTTACTCAGTCTTCAAACAGGATATTCTGCAATATCTCAATGTGGATGAATCTTGAGGACATGGTGCTACGTGAAAGAAACCAATTCAGTCCAGTCCAGTCCAGTCACTCAGTCATGTCTGATTCTTTGCGACCCCATGGACTGCAGCAGGCCACGCTTTCCTGTCCATCACCAATTCCCAGAGTTTACTCAAACTCATGTCCATTGAGTTGGTGATGCCATCCAACCATCTCCTTCTCTGTCATCCCCTTCTCCTCCTGCCTTCAATCTTTCCCAGCACCAGGGTCTTTTCAAATGAGACAGTTCTTTGCATCAGTTGGCCAAAGTACTGGAGTTTCAGCTTCAGCATCAGTCCTTCCAATGAATATCCAATCACACAAAGACAAGTATTGCATGATTCTACTTATATGAGGTATCTAAAAGAGTCAAATTTGGGAATTCCCTAGCAGTTCAGTGGTTAGGACTCTGTGCTTTCACTGCTGTGGGCCTGGGGTTCAATTCCTGGTCAGGAAATTAACATCACATAAGTCATGGGGTGAAGACCAAAAAAAAAAGGTCAAATTCATAGAATCAAAGAGTGGAATGTTGGTTGGAGGAAAAGGAAAATGTGGAGGTATTACAGGCATAGTTTCAGTCAATAAAAAGAAATGCATTTGAATCGATACTAATGAGATGGATGAACCTACAGCCTATTAAACAAAGTGAAATCAGAAAGAGAAAAACAAACATTGTTTATTAAGGCATATATACAGAATCTAGAAAGATGGTACTGATGAATCTATTGGCAGGGCAGCAATGGAGACACAAAGATAACAACTTGTGGACACAGTGTGGGAAGGAGAGGGCGGGACAAACTGAAAGAGTTAACAGTGAAACATACATATTACCATATGTAAAATAGACAGCAGTGGGAATTTACTGTATGATGCAGGGAGCTCAAACCTGGTGCTCCGTGACAACCTTGAGGGGTGGGATGGGGTGGGAGGTGAGAGGGAGGTTCAAGAGAGAGGGGACATGTGTGTACTTATGGCTGATTCATGTTGATGTATAGCAGAAACTAACATAATATTAAAAACAAAACATAAATAAAAATTATGAAAGTTAAAAAAAAGCTTTAGTGAAGCAAGATCAATAAGTTCTAACAGAATCTACTGAACAACAATACATTGTACAGTTAACATTTTGTTAAGAGGGTAGCTCGCATGTTAAGTGTTCTTTCCACAATAAAGGAAAAAAAAAGAAGGTGAAAGATATATGACAGGTGCATATAAACTAATTTTGCCTAACAGTAACACCTAAAAATGCTTTATGCCTATAACAAGTGGCACTGGAATTTGGCCTGGAAAGACTTTTAAAAAATCTGAACGGAAAAATGAGTGATAGACTGGCTACAGATGTTTCCAAGTATGGGACAGTCAGGAAAGATATGGGAGGACTGTGGGTGATGACAGAATGGCTGTGGAAGATGAAACTAGAAAGAGCAGCTGTGAAGTATTTGGACTTTATTTCATAAGGAATGGCAAATGAAAGCTGGTATTTTTAGAGGGAGTTAACATTTTTTTCTCAACAAGGATTATTTGTCTTATTCATCATTGTGCCCAGCAGTTAGCTGCAAGGCAAACTGCAAGAAAGTGAAGGTAACTATATTATTTGTTAATATCAAACATAGTTGAGGACCTTCTTAAAATGGTATGGTGGCTAAGTGGGATTAAGCATGGGATTCACATTCAGATGAAATAGCTGGCAGTAGATACACAACCAGAGGTAATGGAAAGTGGCAGCCTGGGAACATAGGGGAAGAAAGGATTAGTGCTGCCTGAAAGGTTCATAGAGTTTAACAAACAGCTATGAATCTTTAACTAGGCTTTGAAGGATGAATAGTTATCAGGCAGAGAATAATATTATGAAAAGTAGGGAAATATAAACTATGGCATTAAGTATATCAGAATTTTATTAAGACAGCAGAACCATTAACAGTAAAAGTGTGGAAATATCCCATATGTCCATGGATGGATGAGTAAACAAATGAAACGTAATAATGAGTACTATTCACCCTTAAAAAGAAAATTCTGGCACATGCTACAACATGGATAAACATCAAAGACATTATGCTAAGTGAAGTAGGCTGGTCACAAAAGGACAAATATTGTATAACGGGAAGTCTGAGGTACCTGGAGTAGTCCAATTCACAGACAGAAAACAGGTGGTTGCCAGGTGCTGGAGAGTGGCGGGAATGGTGAATTATTGTTTAGTGAGTGCAGAGTTTGGAAAGAAGAAAAGCTTCTGGAGATGGATGTTAGTGATGACTATATTACAAGGTAAATGTACTTAACATCAGTGATCTCTATGTTTAAAAAAGGTTAAAACGGGTTTTTACCACCACCACCACCACCACAAAAGAATTTCCTGTTATGTTATGCTTAAAGATACTTAAGTTATTAAGGTCCCTAAGGATAGCCACAAGAAACTTTAATGATGGAAAGTATTTTCATAAGACATGGTGCTAATTTTTTAAAGCTTCAGTATAACTAATGCTGACAACTTAGTAGAGCTTCTAAATATTAGTAAAATCGTATATAATTTTTTTAGGACTATTGCAGAATCTCAGGCCAAGGATGTCATCGAAGAGTACTACAAATGCAAAAAATGATCACATTAAAAAGCTGAGCTCTTATAAAAATTTTTTTCCTAACTCATTCCAAAGTGCTCCCACTTTTTCCTGGAAGCGGTAGAGTCCATACTCAGGGAAAGCAGCGATATTCTGCGAGATCTAAGAAAAGTAACTGGTGGCAGCGGCTGCAAGCCAGGGAGAAGCGGTTTGAGATGCCTGGAGCCAAAAAAAAAAAAAAAAAAAAAAAACCAGGGGAAAAAAAAGAAAGAAAAGAGGGATTTGGGGGGTTGGAAGGGAAAGAAGCGAGAGATGGGAGTGCGTTCAGTGTCATAAGCAACGCAGGGCGGCCCCTAACCCGAGCATCTGTCAAGCACCAGGTTCATTCCCGCACATTCACCTCCACAGGCTCCAGGGCTGCCTGGCCCTCGGTGGACCCCATGAGGTCCCCGCCAGGATTCCCCCGCCAGTTCGGCCTCCCCCCACGACTCAGCCGTGCGGCCTAACTGGACGACTTACTCATTCCCACCTAGCTTCGGCGTCCGCACAGGGAACCCGGGGCTACGCGACCACCAGCCTTTAGGGCTGTGAGGGCTGAACAACGGGCCTAAGCGTTCGGCCGAGGACACCACACGGCAGGAGCCCGAGGAAGGGCTCCAGATGAATTTCACCAACCCTGGAGATCAGCCCAGCCCGGCCCAGGCTCCTCCCCGGGGCCCGCTCTCCAAGGCGCGCGACCCCTCGGTACCCAAACGCGCGAGGCCCTAGGCGGCCCCAGACTCCGGAAGCCGGGAGGGGAAGTTCCGCGATTAAGGGGCGACCGCCGACTTACTCCTCCAAGAAGTCCAGGAACAGTTTCTGGCACTTCTCGGCCACCTCATCGCGGACTTCCAGATGCTGGCTGCCGGCGCCCGGCTCTGCCGCTGCAGCGAGATCCATATCTGCCTAACGCTAAAGGGCAGCTGGCGCCACACTACAGTTGCTTCTCCTCCGCCGCAGCCGCTCTGCGCGCGCCGCCTCCGTCCCGCCCCTTCGCTGGAAGGCCGGAACCAATCGTGGCTCAGGAGCCCCGGGATTCGCGCCAAACCTGTCCAATGAACGCGGTTTCTCTCTCAGCCCCGCCCACGGAGCGGAGATTTCGCGCCAAATGCAAAGCTCTGAGAAAGCTGGGCGGTCTGCCTCTGCGCCTGCGCAGTTGGTCGTGTCCAGGGAAATTTGGCTGCTGGAGGTTGAAAGATAAGATCTTTGTTCGGGGGTGGGGTCGGGGGTGGTTTTTCAAATTTTCTTCGACTTGTTTCAGTGATATTAATTGAGCAGGAGGCATAAGGCTTTAGAAAGGGAAATGAGTAAGATTCAGACCTCCTGCTTGAGCCATCCAATTCAGTTCAGTTCAGTGGCTCAGTCGTATCGGACTCTTGGCGACCCCATGCGGCCTGCCAGGCCTGCCGGTCCATCACCAACTCCTGGAGCCATCCAATTGGAGGACATAAACTGTAAACCACTGGTTAAAATCCTGTAAAAAGAGTTAAAAGTGATGTATAAACAATACCAGGGGGAAAGGAGAAAGGGGAGTTGGCAGAATTATTCTGGTTGGTGCTGACCGGGGAAAATCAGCGATTATTTGACGCTGTTGATTAATTCCTCTGACAAACGCAGTCTTCCTGCGTTTGTTTGTCTTCCTGACTTTCCTTTCCACCCCTTGGTGGCCATATTTCCCCGACTTCATTTCACTTGTTTTCTCCTATATCTTTAGCCATTTCTAATCAGCCCTCTTTAGAGGTGGCTCTTTAGGGAGTCCCTTAAATGTGCTGGTTCTGGAACCCTCTTTTCTCCTAAAGGAGTTCTCTTGGGTCAGCCCCTCCACTCCCTTGGTTTCAATTCACCAAGATCTGGGTGCTGATGAATTCTCAAAAGTGTATTACCAACCAGTTATCTTTCTTGGGCCTCCAAAAATTATGAGAAACTTGGCTTAGTTCTATTTTTTGAGACTTCTAAGTATATTAAAAGGAAAAAAAATTTTCTTAATGGCAAACAGGATAATAGAAGCTACAGTCATTCTTTTAACACACACACATAAGTTGAAGGCCCTATTCACAAGACGTTTACAAGGTTTAACAAAAAAGTTCATTGCTGTGTACCATAGTATATCAGATGGTGTGTATTACCTCATTTGAAGGGGATGGGAACCCTTGCAGATCTGTATCCCTCAGCTCTTCACCAGCTCCAGATCTGCCTGCCCACAGAACATCACCACTTGTATATACTATGCTAACTGCTAAGTCACTTCAGTCGTGTCCGACTCTGTGCGACCCCAGAGACGGCAGCCCACCAGGCTCCCCCATCCCTGGGATTCTCCAGGCAAGAATACTGGAGTGGGTTGCCATTTCCTTCTCCAATGCATGAAAGTGAAAAATGAAAGTGAAGTCGCTCAGTCGTGTCCGATTCTTAGCGACCCCATGGACTACAGCCTACCAGGCTCCTCTGTCCATGGGATTTTCCAGGCAAGAGTACTGGAGTGGGGTGCCATTGCCTTCTCCAATGGTACAACTAGTGGTGCTCAAAGTTTCTGATCTCAGGATCCCTCTGTAGTCTTGGAAGCCCCCAAAGAGCTTTTGTTTACATGGGGTTTATCTATTGATAGTTACATGGGGTATACCTATTGACATTTATCTACTTATTTACTGAGAAACTAAAATTAAGAATTTCTAAATATTTATTCATGTTTAAATAACAATAAACCCATTACATGTTAACAAATATTTTCTGAAAACTGTATTTCCAAAATAGGACAAATGTAGTGGTAAGACTTATACTGTTCAGCACTTTGTAAATCTCTTTAATAAAAATTAAATTAATTAATACCCCATTATTACTTTGAAATAGTTTTGACCTCATGAACCTCCTTAAAGAATCTCAGAGACCCCCAGAGGGTCCTTTGAGAATCTCTGGTTCAAACTATGAGATGTAAAGGATTATACTCAGCCATAACTGATTTCACATAAGCTGCAACACAATTAAAAATGGAGACTTTGGGTTGCTGACCTCTGGCTTCATAGATGGATTTTTCCAAAAAAGTTAGGAATGAACTGCCCAGTAATTACCCAGAAATCATTCTGTTACATGGTTCTGACTGAAAACAAGGAAGAGCCAGAATGTCGGTAATCATTTGTGGCTTCTGGGGATACTGCATATTTTAAAATCACACGAACTTAATGCCTCATTTACAATTATTTTAGGAGAAAGCAAATAGTTATAACAAATACAGCAGCTGAGAGCATGAACTCCAAAAGTCAGACTTCCTGGGTCTGAGTCTTCTGCCACACACTCATGTGTGTCCTTAGACAAATTATTTAAGCTCACTGACTAATTCCTCACCAGCAGGAACCTTAAACTCACCTGTTTTATGATATTCCCAACCCTCCCGCACTGGCATAAGAATGGATCCAGGAGATATCCAGGAGCATTTTGCTGACGGGATTCTCTCAGTCTCTCAGAAGGCTTCCTTCTTTTCTCTTCTATTTTTCTTTTTCTTCTCTTTCTCCAGGTAGACTTCTCAGAACTAAGTACCACCTACAGAAGGAAAAAAGCAAAGAACAAAAGTGCAGAGTTCCAGGCTTATTTATGGCTATGCCCACAGATAATCTTGGAACTTGTTCTTTTCGGCCCTCCACACCTCGCAGGTTCTCCCTCCTGCCTTCAGACATGCACCTGTAGACCAGAATAGGAGATGGGGTCTCCAAGTGAGTATTGTGGAGGTACCTTCCATAGAAGAGGAGGATGTGAGTTATAAAACATCTTTGTGCTGTAACAGGGAGTGGTATGCCTCTGTGTGTGTGTGTGTATGCGTGTGTGTGTGTTTAGGCCTGAGACTATCCTTATAAAGGCTTGCTGGCCGGGTTGGCCTTTGGTTTGCATTTGGGAACTTGACTGCTGAATATTTCCCTACATTGATATTACACTTTAACTAAATGGTATGTATGGCTCACTCTGCCTAAAATGTTTTACAATGTGGTTGATACTGAATATTTTCTGAGAGTCTGGAATCTTGACATGTGCTAGGCAGAGGGTGCTTATGTAACCAGTCTTCAGTAACAGCACTGGGCTTCTCCAGTTGAGCTTCCCTGATAGACATGTGTGATCCTGGGAAGGAATTAAGTGCATTCTGTCTGACTTCAGAGTTAGAGGACTCTAGGAAGCTTGTGCTGGGTTTTGTCTGAACCTTGCCCCCTGTGCTTTTTCCCTTTGCTGATTTTATTCTCTGTGCTTTCACTGTAAGGATATTTATCTTTATTTAATGATGGGCTCATGCACTTAATATAAATATTTTGGTAATTATGAGCTTTATACCTGGCATCATACTTAAGGAAATTTTTTTGTAAGAAAATTTTCTGATTATTAAAATTCATAAATGATTAGCTTTATTCCTTACATACATATAATGTTCAAAAGTATAATATGATATATAATATAAAAAGAATTACTGTAAACTATTTTAGATTGCCATAGCAACTTGCATCATTAAATTGCAAATAAAAGTATATTGTTTTCTATATTTAACTCAAATAAAGCTTATAATAAACAAAAGAAATTCATAGCTGTGAGTATGATTATATGCTGAGTCCTAGATGGTTGGATGGCATCATTGACTCAATGAACATGAGTTTAAGCAAACTCTGGGATAGTGAAGGACAGGGAAGGCTGGCATGCTGCAGTCAATGGGGTTGCAAAGAGTCAGTCATGACTGGACCACTGAATAACAAGAGTCCTCCTAGCAAATCATAGAACCTGTGGATGGCTTTGAGGACCCCCCAACACAATATATGTATTTTTTAACCTTATAATAATTTCAATCATAAATAAATATAGACAGAAAAGTATAATGAACTTCCATTACATAGCCCCAGGAACCACTAACATGTGGCCAATTTTGTCCCAACCATATACCCCATCTGCTTTTCCCTCTCCATAATGATTATCTTAAAATTTTTATTTTATTTATTTATTTTTGGCTGCACAGCATGTGGGATCTTAGTTCCCTAGTCAAGGATCAAACCAGCATCCCCCATGTTGGGAGCAGAGTCTTCACCACTGTACTCCCAGGGAGGTACCTTAAAAATTTTATTTTAAAATTGTCTTTTCTTTATTTATTTTTGGCTGCATTGGGTCTTTGTTGCTGCTTGAGGGCTTTCTCTAGTTGCGGAGCTTCGGTTCAACAGTTTTGGCTCACTGGCTTAGTTGCCTTCCAGCATGTGGGATCTTCCCAGATCAGGGACTGAACCCATGTTTCCTGCATTGGTAGGCAGATTCTTAGCCACTGGACCACCCGAAAAGTCCCTGGAGTTGTCTTTTTAAATAGTCTTGCAAAAGATAGTACAGAGTTCTCATATACTCTATGCCCATTTTCCCCTATTGTTAACATCTTACATGATCACAGTACATTTGTCACAACTAAAGAACTAATTTCAGTACAGTATTATTAACTAAACTCCATACCTCATTTGGATTTCACTGCTGCTACTACTGCTAAGTCACATCAGTCGTGTCCAACTCTGTGCGACCCCATAGATGGCAGCCCACCCGGCTTCTCTGTCCCTGGGGTTCTCCAGGCAAGAATACTGGAGTGGGTTGCCATTTCCTTCTCCAGGATTTCACTGGTTTTCACCTAATGTTCTTCTTCTCTTCCAGGATCCCACCCAGAATACCATATCACATTCACTTGTATCTCTTTAGTTTCCTCTGGTCTGACACTTTCTCAGAATTTTCTTGGTTTTGATGACATTGACAGTTTTCAAGATTACTGCTTAGGTATTTTGCAAAATATCCCATAATTGGGATTTGTCTGATATTTTTCTCATGTTTAGACTGCAGTTAGGGGGTTTGGGAGGAAGACCATAGAGATAAAGTACAATTCTTACCACTCCCTTATGTCTTTGAAGGAA